TGGTCAGAATGCGAACATTCTAAACACTAATTCCAAATATATATATATATATATATATATATATATATATATATATATATATATATATATATATATATATATATATATATATATATATATATATATATATATATATATATATATATATATATTTTAGATGAATCATTCATACAAAAAGTAGATTTCAAAAAGTTAATGATATAAATGGCAAAAATATCTCAAATAAATTTATTAAAGCTACATTAATCCACGAACTTGATGAATGTTATGATCCTTGCTTTTAATAACTTCAAGTTGTATAAGGTCTTTTTTTTTATTCTGCTAGTAATTTCAGCTGTACATTCAGCCATCCTCAGGCATGGAAATTTTTTTTTTTTTTAGTAGTAGATCCAGGTAATAGTGGACTCAAAAAAATTAAATGTGAAGCGAAATATGTTTTTATTACAAATGTGTTATTGTTAAAGGATAGAAACTTATGGAGCGTGCAGTTGCAACGCTAAGGTTGAATTTTTTTTAAATTTAAGAGAGTGTGTTATTTTACTAATATGGTAATTTGAGAATTTTTTTGTTGTAGGAATTTTTTTTTTCAGTCAATGTGGCATGAACTAAATTGTTCAATAAATAGAGTAATGTCACAGCTGTCATCTTGAAAATTTGCACGTAATTTTATATAATTTTATACAGTTACATTAGAACATATAAATATCCACTACAAAACTGTACATTTTGTTTCAACGTTAAAATGAAACATTTCTTCAGATGGCTAACAATGATGGCACTAAACAATTTTATTCAAAATTGCAATTAATGAAACACTATTTCTTTTTTTTTACTTCTTTTTTTGAAAAAAAAGGTAAAAAGAATTTATATAAAGAAAAAGGAAAAACTAAGAAATCAATAAAAAAAGGAAAGAAAAAAGAAAAGAAATTGAAAAGAAAGCATAGGAAATTAACCGTACTACCAAGAGAAAAAAGAAAGAAAAGAGAAAAAAGAAAGAAAAGAGAAATAGAGAAGTTTATTAAAAATTACCCAGATTCATAAGAAGAGGAAAGTTAAGACAGGAAATAGAAAGATGTTGATATGATTTAAACCAATGAAATTCCATTGAATGGGAAAATTCAAATAGGAGTGGAAATCCAGTATGAATGGATACTCTGTATCAAACATGTCACATTTACAATTCTATGGCATTTGTATATGAAGTCGTATATTCAAACAAAATTATCCACAGAATGTAAAAAAGGACACTTTAAGAAGCAATACGATATTTAACAAAACCTACCAGTCATCCAATAAAATATTTGACTAAGTGATTAGATGTGATAAAAGATAAACGTTTAGGAAATAGATTTTAAATGACCAGGTCAAAAAACCGTCTTTACTGTATCTCGGCAACACATTAAGGAAAAAAAAAAGATAACAGAATTTTCCCTTTCTCCAGGCAATAAAAAGAAAAAGGGCTATAAAAACATCCGACGGCCTTCACACGAAGATTTGTTAAGACAAAAAAGATTTAAAAAATCGTGGGAAGCCGATTACAGACAAGATATCCGCAGGATTTTTTACACATCAAAGAAAGCAAAATTTAAGTAATTTTGAAATTTTTAACTTACAGTCGCCAATGCTTATCATTTTTTTTTTTCACCCGGTGGTCTAGGGACTTCCGATTAGTTCAATATAAATACGAGTGATTTTTCCGAGCCGGGCAGTTCAGCCGGGGTGTGTAATTTGAAGTAGCCACGTGTGTCAAGCACACTGAATTTATGAAACTCCGTTCGTCTGAGTCGGTCGGTTCGGCATTTGATCTCCATTAGTTAGAGTTAGAGCTGAGTGTCACATCGCCTACCCCAACGGCAAGACTAAGTCTGAACGAAATAAAGCGTTGATTAAACTCATCTAAGTTGTGGAAGTTCGTTCCTTCAATGCTTTATCTTGTGCCCCCAGCTTGAGACTTCGACTTTTTCAACCAACCCCCGGCAACATCACAGCGTGGAGAACGGCCGCCGGAGAAATTGTACGGAGCTCACAAGGGGTGTTACAAAATAAAATAAAAATAAAAATATAATACAACATTAATCATACTACTTGTAAATTACAAATATTAACACCAATTTAATGCCTAAAACTGGGATAAATTAATGATGAAATCAATGAAATGTTTATAAAGATGATAAACTTAAGAAAACTGATTCTAGAGTTAAGAAATTTAGCAAGATTGTAAAGTTAATTCCTTTATGGGCTTCCAACTAATTGCTGTTTCGTATCTTTGATTCAATAAAATATCACTGAGAACTTATTTTCCATTTTCTCTTGTAGACAAAGGAAACATGGTTCATTCAAAGAGCTAGAGATTCTAGCTAGTTTTAGAATTTTCCATTTAACTTTAGGTGTAATATTTTTGTTTTTCAATTTCCAAAAACATTTAGAAAGTGAAGTCATATTTCAGCTATCTGCATTATTAAAGGATGAGAGATAGTTATAGTAACAATTTTTAAAATCATTCATTGTACTTCCAACATAAATTCATTCAGAATTTCCAGGATTTTCAACTGATGCAATACAACACATATGCACAATGGATTTTTTATACACTTGTTAGATGATGGGCATGCATTGTGATTTCTACAATTACATAAGTCAGAAAGTGTGGAAAACATTGTTAACTTATCCTTCAGTCTGGTCAATTTAAATATTAGATATAAAAGAGGGTGCTTAAAAGTCCTTGGCCCTTCCCATAATCTTCAGCTCTAAAATCTGTGGGTTAAAATTTGCATGCAATATGAACTTGCAAAGACACACAAGAACACATACAAGAGAGAAACCTTTTCACGGTGAATCAACATTTTCCTGAAATATACATGAAAACTCACACTGGAGAAAAACTTTTCCAATATGAGATTTGTCAGTCAACATTTTCCCAAAATTCAAGTTTGATTAAACATATCAGAACACATACTGGAGAGAAACCTTTTCAGTGTGATGAGTGTCAGTCAATCTTTTCACAAAATTCAGATTTAATAAAGCAGATAAAAATTCACTTTAGTGAAAAACCCTTCCACTGTGATATTTGTGAGATAGCATTCATGCAAAAGTCACATGTAAGTATCCATATGTGAACACACACCGAAGAAAAACCCTTCCAATGTGAAATTTGTGGATCAACATTTTCACAGTCATCAGTTTAAAAGCCAACATGTGCAGACACATAGCAAAATGAAATTTACAAAAAATTCAAGTTTGAAAACACACATGATAACACATACAGGTGAGAAGCCTTTCCATTGTGATGTTTGCAAGTTAAATTTTAAACCTGGACAAACATTGGAAAATACATCTGCAAACAAAAGCTACATAAATTGCTTTTTATTATTTGATAAATTATGCAGGCAAGATGGTGGAATCAAATTTTGTTCAGTAGGCTCTCTAGTCTTTCATAGTCTTTCTCTCTTGTTTTCTGTTTAGGATTGGGTTTCTGATTCCTTCTGAAGTCTATTTCAGCTCTATAATCCTAACAATTGTTCTTTCCTATGCTAATATAACTCCACAAAGTAACCCTCTACCTTGAGTGGCTCTGGGCCTTGTGTTGGATGAACATTAGTAAAAAAAAAAAATTATAAAGATTTGTCTGGTGATTTTAATTTTTTAATAAAACACCTGAGAATGTCTTTCCATATGGCCAGTGAAATGCATTAGGTTAAAAATAAATCAGAAAACGAATCAACAGATAAAATGTAAATATCAGAACAAAGAATAATTCATTAAATAATGACATTAGGTATACGAGGAAGGCCCTAGAGAGCATTGCTCAAAACAATAACGGCAAAAATACTGATCTGATTAATTTATTAGCTAACGACTCCATTTTAACTAATATTCAATCTCTCACTACATAATGTACACATCTTGTTTTCTACAAAAAACATATTTTGTCCTATATCTTAATGGCTGATTTGCACATATCAGACTAACACCTAAACATCCCTGTTTGACACATTAACACCCTGATGATGCCAGAATTAAATATGTATATGATTATCTATAAAAATAAAATGAAGTGTGTATTTGTTTTTCTGCTACAAACTCAGAAACTGCTGGATGGATTTCAACCAAACTTATGATTCATGTAAAGTTGACCTAAAACAATTCTGAATGTCATGAAAAGTAAAAAAATATAGCCCAAAAAAGTCATCATGAAAGTTAAATATTTTTTCCCAAATAAAAAAATATAGTGGTAAGGGAGGTAAATCGATTTCTGGTAGTAAAGTAATGCATGGTTACTTTCCTTAGTCAACTTAATAATCTATACAAATAAAATGAAGAGTCTTTGTTTTGTTTTTATTAGAAAGAGATTAGTTTTTGAACAATACTGGGAACTCTTGCTAGTAAATGATTGAACTCTGATTATGAATGAAAATAATGTTAAAATATAAAAACATCCTGTTTGACACACTAGTCACCTGATAAACTCAGAATGAAATATGATTATAATCACTTAAATGAGGATCCAGTATGAATTTTGACTTCTGAAACATGGTATTGGTTAGTGCAAGATTATTTCCTGTGCAAAACTTGGCGAGAAAGTTTGCATTATTCCTAATCTGTTTGCCTGTTGCAGATGGGGAAGTGTTGTGTAAATTACCTACATTCCTAGTGAAGTTAGCCATGATGAAGAGGTGATCATCAATTATAGATTGAACAATGTCATATAACTCGAAAATATTTTCATCTGTTGCAGGAATGTAACAGTGGATGAAAACAAGTTTTGATCTTTTGAAACTCAAAACAGTAATTCTGTCAGAAATTGGCTCATAGTTATTAGTTCAAAGTAAAAAGACTCCATTGACAAGAAAACCAAAAGTATTGGATGTAGAAATATCAATGCTCAAGAAAAACAGCTTGTAATTTGTGTTTTCATTAGTTTCAATTTTACATTCTTTCATTTTATTCTCTGAGAATCAAACAACAAGCCTATTTGACATCACTGAGCTCATAAACATCACATTGAAACACTGGCTTCCATACAATCACTGAAGTTAAGCAATGTCAAGCTTGGTTAGTAACTAGATGGGTGATCACTTGGGATAGCAGGTGCTGTAAGCTTGTATGTGTGGATCGAGTAATAGATAATGGCTTGGAATTGAAAATTGGAAAGCCGAGTTCTAATTCCTTTTGGGTTCGTTATATTCACTTGTGCACAAATAGCCTTGGGAAAGGTAAGAATTCATCTCTTCTCCCACTGCTATGGGTTCATTAGTAAAACTTGCATCACTAAACCATTATCTCCCCCACCCCAAATTCTTACAATCTAATATTTTCTTGCTTTAAATAACCTGAAAATGGAGCAATCAATCAATGAAATACTGATTAGCTACACACGCATGTCAGTTAGATTTTATTTACATTCCCTGGAACATAAATGTATAGAAACTGCTGTGTGCACAAAGTGAAGAATCAGTTCATATAGTGAATGTAATATAGAATTGATCACCCACTTTATATCCACATTATAATTTCTTGTCAAATTTTAATTAGGTATAAATCCACCTTTCCTCCCTAGCTACAGTAGCAGCTGTTAGGTTCCCAGCTATGGGCAAATCAAGAACCCCCATACTGGGGTCAAAACACTATGGAAGTATAAAAATAGAGTTTTATAGTAAAAATACCAACAATACAGTTTTCTAAAAAAAAAATATTACTAACAATACATTTGACTCTTAAGAAAAACCCTCTTTACAAAAATACATCAATAAAACTTGATCTACAAACTGATTTCTTACAAAGAATGCATATCCTAGTTATACAAATCTATTCTAAAAATCTTGTTAGCATTAAATAACCCATTGAGATTGATATGCCATAAAAAAAAGATAAACCAAATCAAACCACTTTCACACTAATACACTTGGGAAAGGCATGAATCCGTCTCTTCTCCTCTCAGCTATGGATTAAATAGCAAGGCAGATTGGGCCCTTTAGTCGAAAAAAAAGGAAATCCCTTAATTCTAAATTGTGGAGAATGTAACAGGAAACCAATTCACAGTCTTTCCCAAAAATGACTGGCAATTCACAAATTATAAAGAAAATTATAAAAATATGAACAGGACATGACATTTAAAAAAAATAAAACATTAAAATTATGAAAGTTAGCTTTCTGTCTGAATTTCTGGGATGATGAGTTATTACTACTTACATTCAGACTAATGTCGTCATCTTTGTTGTTACTATTAAAAAAAATTGGCTGTTGTACTCTCCAGCCTTCTTCAGGTGTCTCTTGAATTGGTTAGCAACCAATCTGGGAAAATGAATTCAAAACAAGTCTTTAGAAAGAAAATAAATTCTGGCCAAATTCAAAGCCCAAGAGCCATTCAAGGAAGAATGTTACTCAATGAGGTTGTCCTTAGGAAGAAGCTGTACAAGTGGAACTTTCTTTCTTACCAATGGAATTCAAGGGGAATGAAGATGGTTCACCCCTGTGTACCTGCCATGGTGGGTTTTAGTTGTAAAGGTCTGAAATGATGGAACTAAGGAATGTTGTAGGTCAGAACATCTTCCATGGAAATGGCAATAGTCATAGGCAAGATAATTCCACTCAAGCAGTCTCTTTCTGAGAGCAGCTACTTTATTTAACATTTTTTAAAATCAATGAAAATTACTGTAGGAGTCCACCATAATAGTAGTGTCAAGAGAAAAGTGTCCTTTTGACATAATGTTAAACTTTGCCAAATTCTTTCCTTACAATCATTAAAAGTAAAAATATTCAAAGAAATCTAATGTAAAACAAGATCTAAAAGGCAATATATTAGCAGCTTTATCTCCCCTAATTACCAATGAGATCTTCCTTTGTTATATTGTTAATGCCACTTTTTAGCATGATGATGGAATATTCCTTCTCCTAGACCAGTTGCCACCCAGAGCTATAGAACCCGGTCTGTCCTGCTATTTACCCATAGCTGGGGTTGCTAAATGATGAATATATAAAATTCTTTTATGTTTTACATTGTAGAATACATTTAGTTCCTCAAAGAATCAACATAAAAATTTTTTTAACAAAAAACATTAGATATGCTTGAACTACATTAGAAAAAGAAAAAAAATTTGTATAAAGATAATATGACATTCATGTCCTTTTTAGCATACTGTAGGTTCAAGTTCAATTTTTGTTGGTATACTGGGCCAAATTTGGTGATTGTTTTGAAATTAATTTTCTAGTTAAACAATTTTAAAATAAAATCAAATTTTTTTTTTTTTGGGATGTGGCAATGAATTTTTTATGGATTTGCTAGGAAAAATTTAATAATTAAAAAAATCTATTTTTCAACAAATTATTTTAAAATTTATTTATAGAAAATTTTTTTTTTTTAAATTTCAAATTATTTAAAAATTTACATTTAAAATTTAACACTTGTGCCTGCTGGACTTATTGGTCTTAAAATCTGACAATTTCTAATATTCATCCCTTTCAATTTGTTTTCCAAATCAAAATTTTAGTTTGGAACTAAATAGATGTATTTAACAAAATTTATATAAAGGTATATATAAACATATACATTAAAACAAATCTTATAAGCACACAACTCAAAATTATTGCAATATAGATCTAAAGAAACCATATAAAATATGTCATCAATGTATTGAACTAGATAAAAGCATTATATGACATGAAATATTCACAAGGGTCAAGTGAAATTGAATATAAATTTGCTAAAGTGAAACTGATTATGAGTTTCAGATTAAAAATATTTACATGACTGTACATTCATTTCAGCAAATACTTACTTCTTTTTTCTTTTTAAAGAGTCTAACCAGGATAACTTTTTTTTAAATGTATATAATTATATATTAGCTATATAATTTTGACAATTGTTAGTATAGCAAAAATGGCACTTTGTAGCATAACTTTTGATAACACAATACCATAATTGACAAAGTTTAAGGATACAAATATTCCCACAAAAGACACTGTATGCTCCCTCAATAATGTTTGTTTAAAAACACTGTTTAGAATTTTAATAACAACAAAATTATTACACACTAACTAGATTATTTACAAACAGATAAAACTATGTGAACAACTACAATGTGATATTTATTTTTTATCATTGTATGAATAAATATGAAAATAAATTTTATTCATAATTTATAAAAACATTTGTGAACAATAGAACAAGACAATTTAAATAAACATGACTTTTACAAACACTATGCATTTTCTTGGATTCTTAACTCAGAATACATCTTGTTTTAATTTTCAATTTTTTTATAATCATGATCTCGGATCAAAGGTGACTAATCAAGAGAAAAAAATTAAGTAATTATAGATTACGTCCCTTCGTACACATTTTTGAAAACCACAATTTAAAAAAAAAAATTAAATCATTGCTAATTTTTCTAAAGATTTGTGTGAAAACTGGAAAATCTGAAGTTATATTATTTATTGTCAGCCAAATGATGACTGATGAAGAAATGTTAAATGAAAGATGGACACGAAGCACCTTGACCAAAGCAATTGGTGAATTGTGTTCTTTGGAATGGTTCAATTCAAATATTCACATATTTTTATATTATAAATATAAAAATAATCATGTAAATAACCTAACAACTAAATGTGTAACATTTTTCATATCAAAATTTTAAACAGCTTTTTAAAATTATAAACATTGCCGAGGATGTTGAGGAGGAGTATGCAGTAAGAGCATGTTAAGAGGAAAACGTTTTTTTGAGACGTCATTTCTTTTTTTCTTTTTTTTTGTACGTGGCGTACTTCACCAGATTAATTTAACTTTGAGAAGAAAACAGGACTCACGCAAGAAGAATAACTACAAAACATTGTTTCACATAAAATATATGTATATTAACAAGAAGTACAATATCAAACAACAATGTGAAAGAAAACATGCATTTAAGTAAGAAAGGTTGAATTAATCAAGAGTTGCCTCCCTTTGATTAAAATTTAAGAGTTGTGAGAGATAGTTATTTGGTTTAAAGTTCACTGGATAAATGTTCATGAGTGTTTCATGATATAATTGTTCTTATGATATTACTGTTGAAAAGTATTGTTGTGGCAAAAGAAGTTTTTAGTGAAGGTGTACAAATTATCATCAGCATGTGGGTGTGCGTGAGAAAGTTGGCACGTGGTTAGAACTGAAGTTCCAACTGTCGTATATTCGTTTAGCAGTTGAGGTCTCACTAATTGAGATTTAATTGATCAGAAGTCCTTTGTTCTGTGTAATCTGTTATCACTGTATCTTTGTAACATTTGTTGTTTCTTTATAAATGTTTGCTCCCTCCCATGTACATTTCCCCCCATCGTGTTTATGCAAACCCTTTAGTCTTAATTGCACTTTTCACAGCTGCATCTGATAGAATAAAATATACTTCATTATAATTTGTTGTACAGTTTGTCTGTTCCCTCATGCATTCAAACAGGGCAATGGCGATTACAAAATGGTTTGTTAATTTTAATGCCCGCTAAATAAAACATCTCTCTTTTAATCATCTGAAAAGAATCCCTTTTTAACTTCCATCAGTGTGGCTGATAATAACTACTCAGATTAATGTTTTCCACTGATATGAAGTGGAAAGATTATATTGAATTCATTGCTAGATTTGCTACCAGGAATGTTGGTTCCCAGTATTGTGCTAGACAATTTTTCTCACTAGAATCTATCTTGCATATTTACAAGTCTGTCATTTGTCCTTGCTTTGAATATCGCTTGTTACCATATCTGGTCTGGTGCTCCTGCTATATATTTAGAGATTCTTGATAAAATCCAAAATAACTTGACACTCATAACCTGTACCTATTGGATTTTGCAGAATTCAGTCAAATTAACATTATTTTCTGCTATACATTTGGTCTTTGTTCATGCGCTAATTTTGAATAATGCTAACAAAAAATGTCCCAAATTTTTTTCTCCTTTTTATTGTAAATTCCAAATATCAAAATAATTTAAATCTGTAAAAGAAGAATTTAAAAACATAATAAGTTCCTCTCATAGCTTAAATTGATCATTACCCACATTTGGCACCATATGCAGCAGGTCAAATATCAGTTTTTGACAAAGCTTTCCTTCTTTTTGTCAGAAAATTATCATCTAGA